ATGGTCCACGGGCTATGTAATAGGTACTGCCATACTGCTGTGGTTTTAAATAATAAATATATGACTTATGCAAAGGGAATTAATGAATTTCACATTTGACATGGCCATAATTCGTAAAAAGTGTAAAAACACGGCAATTTTCGTTCATGCGCACGGCTATTAATTTCATTCGGTTAGCAGCACTGGGCCTATGTACTGTAGAATACCGATCAAGGAGAAGCGACAGTAGCTGTCGGTGCCTTTGATATTGGATGGACCTTTTTCACAACATGACTTTGATTAATATACAACTTAATACGCTGAAAAGACATGCTTATTTTCTACACTGAGCGAAATAGTTTGGCAAATTATCTGAAATCATTGTTATAGTCCATGCGCAAATGTTGTAATGTGATTTAATTACATTGAAGTAGTTAGGGTTAATTAGCAATGGGGAAATTTCGGGACCAAAATATAATTCATTATGTAATAATTAATTTGTTAAAAAAGTAAAAGAAGTTTATTATTTTATAATTTATCTATAACATTTGTTCAATATTTGGTTTATTTATTGTTAAAAATGTAATAAAAGCCCCATATTTAAATAAAATTACCTTTTCCTTAAGTAAAATAAGGCAAATAAAATTAAGGGTACCAAGAAAAAGACATTAGGTTTGAGAGGTTTAACTAAATATTTGCAATGTGATATATTTTCAAAGCTTTTAGGTTTAAAAAGTAGAAACAAGTGTTTTCCCGAAAAGATAAGCCAGATGTCACTTAAGGTTTATGTATTTAGAGTTAAATACTTGGCCTGGCTATCACCCAGACAATACAAATATGTCCATTGGACGTTTATAGGATATACAATTATGGATATCTAGACGTCCAAAAATAAGTTTTTTCTGGACTTCCGACACCCAATTGACGTCCAGTGAAATATAAAAATGGCACACTTTTGACCATTCAGAGGACGTCCAATTCTGAAATATGGACGTCGAATACTGGACATTCAAAAAACATCCAGGATTATATTTTCATTGAAACCGCATCCCCACTTTTTTTACAGAACCGCAACTCACCACACACTATTTTATATTATTAATAATTTGTTTATTATTTTCGCAAACCGCTGTACACTATTTATATTTTTTAATTAAAGATCGCTTGACCTGAGCAGGTATCGAAATCACGACACATCTATTATCGTTTTACGCTTTCAATCGCTAGACGAGCTCGACCAAGAAACCACTTGAAAACTTTTTACTAGATATACTTATAATGGAATAAGATTTAAAACTTCCGCTGATAGAATGAAATGCAATAGATTCAATTTGTCAATTTTTAATGACCAAATTATATTAAAAAAAGGAAGTGTATATAGATGGGAATTATCTCGTATGCTTAATAAATAATGACCTAAGAGGGATGTAAATTGGACGTCAAAATACTACTAAACTTAAAATTAAGTCCAAAAACAGACGTTCTCTGGGTATCGATATTCAGCTGTCAAATTAATTAGCATAAACGAACGTACACTGAATGCCCGGATATGGACGTCCTGACCCTTAAATGGATCTAAAATGTACGTCCATTGCACTGTGTGCTGTCTGGGCATAGACGAATTTTTAGAAATAGTACTTATTTAAGTATGTACCAATATTTTCAAAATCAACTCCTGTATGATTCATTCAATTAATATAAATATGAATGGACAAAACATCATTATATTGACATAATTGTAACTTACAATTTAACCATAATAAAGGAATTTCACCTACTTTGACCAATCCTTATTGAAACACGCGGATTTACTATATTTTTTTATATATAATTTCAAAATAAAATAAACAAAATCTGCAGTTCATTGTTTATTAAATTTATTTAAAAGAAGATAAACATATATTTCAGAAAATCCAATACTTACATATGAAAAATAAAATGTCAAAAATGATTAAATTATTATACTTAATATTTATACATGTGATAAAATTCTTAGTTTCCCAATAACTTTTTTGGCACATTTTATATCTGTATTAGAATACCTAATTGTGTAAAAAATCTTCATCTTATTACTACACAAAACAACCACCAAAAAATATCACTTAACATTGCTCACGTACTAAGGGTGCGTTAAGTGAGCGGTCGGACCGGTCGAAACTGTCTAGCGAAAGCGAAAACCGACCAACATGACCAGTCATGACTAATCAGCTGATCGGTCAGTCAGTCAGAACAGTCGAGAAATTGAGTTTGACTTGTTTGGTCAAAACTGTCCATTGAATGGCCAATTGTCAATTCATGTTTTTATTTAATTTAAACATACAAGAAATTATTAGTTATGGATAAACTAATGTTGTTGAAAACCAATTTAAAACATGAAACGGGAAAAACCAAATATTATGTAATATTATTATGGGATTAGTCACCAGTTACTCTAAAATAGGCGGAAAATCAACACTTACAAGAATCTTTTCTATTCAAAATGCTGATGCTGGAACTTACACTTTCAAAAGAATTATTATATTTATTAATGAAATTTCATCATCAGTTTGAAAAGATAACAGACAAATAGCCATAATAACTTTATTTCTCTTTCTGCTGTTCATATATTTTTTAAATGCCTTCGTCTTGAGTTTACCGCATTCTTTAGAACTGTCGATGTGTCGAGGGACTCACAAAATACAGGAGAAAGGAGGGACTGCCTGGTCTTGTAATTTTCGGTTAGCTAATCATGAATTTTACAAAATAGGACTAGACAGTTTCGACTACATTGCCTAGCGAGCGGTCGACCATACCAGTCAACTTGACCGTTGACTTAACGCAGCCTAAACACAACTTGGACTGACTTTGACAGATAACATCATTTTGAGTGATGCACAACTTATTTTCGCACATGGGCCTTATAAAACGGTACACTGAAACCAAACCAAACCAAGCTGTCGCTTCTCCTTGATCGGTATTCTCGGGTCATACTAGACATTTCCAAGATTCGAAAAAAAAATACATCAGTAAAATTTTATATAAATGATAAATAATTTATTTGCGCGTATGAATTATATTCATTTATTAAAAAATAATAATACATCATCCAGGTCAGTAAAAGGTGGCAAGGATGACGACAGGGATCAGATGAAAAAACAGGTACCTACGTCCTATATACAATATGTCTGACTAAGTTGGAACCATATGGAAAACTTTTTTATTATTGGTTTTGTAAAAATCTATTCTTGATAATAAGTTCTGCATAGCCCAAATCCCAAAATGTAACCATCAGATATCAATTTTTTAAGCCGTATACGAGGTTTGTCAAAAAATATGATTTTTGCTGAAAAGTAAAGTACCTTTATTTTTGACAAACCTCTTATACCACTGATAAAATTTGATATCCGATGGTTGTGTTTTAGATTTTAGACTATGCTCAACTTTTTATTAACAACTTTTTTTCCTAAAATTAATAACAAAAAAGGTTTTCATATGCCACCAACTGTGTACGTAAGTTGAAATAAATAAAAAAAAGGTAGGTCACTTAATAATTTAAAAAATAAACTTGTAGATATAGAAAAAAATTGCATGTTTTGATTGGAGAAGAACTAGTTGTCTATCAATATTATTTTCATCATTTTGTTATTTAAAAAATGTTTCCGTATAAGTTATACCTAGATAATTTTATCATGCTTTAATTTCTTGCATGCATTACCTACAAAGTGTTAAAAATATAAACAATTTTCAGGCGGATTTCTTAATTACCTACCAATTGTTTTAGGTATGTAGGTATACTTACTTTACCGTTAACTTTATTGTCTTCATTATCATTATTCAGTACCTATATAGTGGGTATAAGTTTCGTGAACCGTGAAAGTAAATGAACTTCAGTACAAACAATTTTGTACAAATTATGTCAACTAATATATAGATTATATAATTATTCACATATTACAATTTTCCCTATTAATAAAAATAACTTAGATTTATCTATATACGATAGCGATTTATACTCATTATTTTCATGGCATGGAATGCAATACATATATAACTGCAATCATTACCCGATTATTTTAGAGATTATCGAACAGAAATCAGATAGGTACACCACCCATATCAAAATGGAATATCAGAAGGGCTTATTGGAATCTGCTTTATCAACAAATATAATCAACTATAGTTAACTGTCCAATAACAAAAAAATATAGACGAATCCTTATCCAGCTAGCACAAAAACATCCCATCTACGTTAATAAGCTGCAATTTTAGGCTCTTTAAGCTCGCATGTAATGTACTTTTAATGTAACCCTAATATCCATGCAACCACTGAATGTCCGCAACGGCAAGACTTTTATAGCATATCTCATAGAGGTTACAAAGTGAAGTTCGGAAAACATTACATCAGCACTTTTACGGACCATATGCCTATCACTCTCGGACCATATCCATAGTTGTGCAATTTTTCGCTTGACTGTGTCAAAGCGCAGGACATCAAACTGTTAACTGTTACTTATGCGTGTTGAACTGTCATAAGTCGAAATAAGCAGACGTAAATTTATTTGAGAACCCAAATGGTACATGTGAAGTAAAAAGGAAAAGACCAATGCAGTTTGAGCTTGATCAGTGCGACATGAGCCCATATGAGTATGAATAATATTTGTACATGGGCAGGCTTAAGGGGTAAAATATCTTAAATATATTTATACAGGCGAGCTTAAGGGACAAATATTGTTATATAGGCAGGCGTATAGGATAAAGGGGAGAAATATTTTTACTTGGGGGTTTAAAGGGTACAACCTTTTTATTATATGGGCAAGCTTAAGTGGTAAAGAAACTAAATATTTTGATATGGAAGACTTAAGGGATAAAGGAATTAAATGTTTTATGACCGGCTTAAGGTAGACGTATGCATGGATTCTTACATGGATAGGCTTAACACGTTAACTGCGAAGCCTAATTAGAATAACAATTCGAACTTAAATCTGTAATTAAAACTAAATTTTATACGTATTGTTTATTTAATCTATCTTTTGTAATTATTACATGGACAGATATAAAAGAGACCAAATATTTTTAGATATACATATACTTAAGAAGTAAGAAGTCCAAATATTTTACATGAGCAGGTTTTAGAGCCAATTATTATTAGATATGAAATGGTTTTAAAAATCAATGCTTGTGACAATCATCACGTAGTTTAACCTTAGTAATGGCAATACTTCACAAACTTTAAAATTCAACGTTTTTATACCTCTATCGGCTTTCGGTCTTTCGTTCCAAATCAAATCATTTCTTGTTATTTTACGCTAAGACTTTACCCTTGTGGGCCTCAGTCTCGATAAGGTGGGCACCACCAATTTAGTGTCTTTTGATTTTTTATTTGAATATGATAAATAAATAGTAACAGAAATGTAAATAAATAAATAATCAAGTTATTACTTAAATAAAATATTTTATTTTTAAAATAAAAACGATACAAAACTCTGAAAAATATGGCACTCTGGTAACTGTAAGGCAACATTTGGCATTTTATATGTTCACAAAATATATAAATTTATTAAATTCAAAAATATAAAATTATTTAATGGCACGTAGATTCACAATTTCACATTATATAAATATATACATTGTAATATTTATTTTATAAAAGGCACAAACGTTCACAAGAAAAGTAAATAATAATAATAATATTTGTTCTGTATTTACAGTTTTTTTGAAGTAGGATAAATCAAAAATACATTTTCTGTAACCAATCTTTGGACCATTTCTTTTCCATTTTGGTTTTACCTGCTTTTTTAAGTGTATAGAGAAATTTGATTTCAAATATCTGGATAACATAATTATTAAACAAAATTAAAGAGAAAAGTCATGTACAGGGTGTCCGTAATTTCTGAATAAATCAATTTGTGTTTTATAGACACCCAAACAAGTTCAAATAAAAGTTATATGGATTTGATATACAGGACGTTAAATTTATATTTTTCAAATGGATATTTTATTTCAGTTTTAGAATATTCTAGTAAATACTGTTTTCAACGCTAAATTATTTTTTAAAAATATTACAAGGTTGTAAGCATTTTTTTAAATTAAGATTGATGTAAACTCCAAATAAAATTATCTTCATTTACGACTATATTTTACAATTATTCTTAAATATACATGGTAGTCCATAAAAGAGGAGCGAACCAAAATTATACTTTTTAGACCAAACAATCTGGATAACAGATTTGATTGTTTTCACATCGGTAAACAATTTTAATAGACTTAAAATTCCTAAAATGTTTTCTGTTTTCATTAATTTGTTAATGTATACAGGGTGGACCTAAATGGAAGATTACGATATTCTCAATTTTTTCAAATACAATACCGTTTGGTCTATACTCGATGACTACCCATAAACGGATACAGAGAAAAACCAAATTTTAAACTTTATTCCATCCTATGGTGAGCTAATTAGATTTTGGACAGAGTCGAATCATCTGAGGGGCATTTTTTCTACTTTATAGAAGATGTCTGTTATTTGCACTAGGAGAAGAAAATTAGTTAAATAAAAGTTGCTTTTAATGTGATTATATATAATTTTTATTCCATTCATAATTTTCCTAAAATGGTCCGTACTTGAGTAATTGACAAAAGTGCAAAATTTTTAAGAAAGTTGTTCAAATAAAAGTTGTTTGTAATATCATGATATCATTCTCTATATTCTTTGTCTCATACATGATGTCTCTAAAATGGATCATAATGAAAAAATTTTGAGAAAAAGTGTAAAATTTTAGGTTTTCAGTACTTTCGTTGGAAATGAGTACATATTAAAAAAAATATTACGAGTAAGATGTTTGTGGAAAATGAATGTATTAAGTTCATCCTCTAAACATTTACAGGGGTGATACAATAAGTTGTACAAAATAATCCGAGAAAGCCTGTAATAACTAGATAAGAAAGTCATGTGTTGGACACTTCAAATTTTTTATTTTGTTTGGCATTGACTGTACCCAAACGCATTTTTCTCAAGATTTTGATGGTTTTATTATAAAAATTATCATTTTTCTAATAAATATAATAATTGCTTAGCAACCTTGTAATATTTTTTTAAAAAGTTTTTAGAGTTAAATGCAGTATTGTCAGCCCATTCTAAAAATAAAATACAAGATGTTCTATTTAAAAAAATATACATTTTTATTTACCAGTCAATAACGAAACACCCTGTATTTAGTAAAAATATTGAAATTCTAAAAACAAGAAGTTAAAATTAATTTTATTAATTTATTCTTGCCAAATTACGAAAAACTCTAAAGTAATTACAAGATGGGGTATATCTGTGTTCTCTCTTTAATTTGAATATAAATTTTTTTAAACAATTTTAACCACAACTATTTATTAGTGTTGAATTAGGCGATAATGACAATGACAGTATTATTAAAAAATATACAAGTATACTATTATTTAAGATCATTTTTAAAGACAACTCTCTATATTGGCAACTGCTGAAGTATTTTAACGAAATTTATTATTTAATTTTCCATAATAAGATTTATGATTCATACTTTTAATAATGTGCATATTTTAATAATAGATGATTTCACCGGAAGACATCTTGAAGTTGCAAGGTCATTGGAAGATCTTTGCGCCATCTATAAGTTTACAAAACAAATAATAAAATAAAAAAGAAAACTGTAAATTATTATTTTGGCAATCTGTTTAAGGTTACGGCGTCGGTATTCATTTTTTTCTTTGTCTTCTTCATTAGTTGTATGTGCTCAGTTTTTCACCATCTCTATCTACTTAGTGACAGGTCCTAGAGTCTTCTTTTTCTTAGTAATGTGTCATGTCAAAATTTGTAAAAACATAAAACGACCTAACGCGCGCTTAACAAGCCATGTAGATCTAGGGTGAGATTACAGAACGTCTGCAACTTTGCAGATCTGCAAATATGGCGGACTTACATATGCATGTATCAAGTTTTCGTATTCCAAAAAAGATCTGCAAATTGGCAATATTTATTGTGGTTTATTACCCCCAATAACACTAAACCCAAATCCATTAATATGTTTAAAAACTCGATAATCTGTTACCATGAACTGTATTCAATCAAAAGAAACAGAAGACTTCATGGTTGTAGGATGTGCTAACCTTCTTAAGGGTGGATTTGAATTTAGTGTTGTTAGAGGTAATAAATATTGCGAATTTGCAGATATTTTTTGGATACTTGCATCTGTAAGTCCGCTATATTTGCAGATCTGCAAAGTTGCCGCCATATTTGCAGATATGCAAAGTTGCAGACGTTCTGTAATCTCACCATTAGATTCCAGATCTTGGCGAAAGTGAGAGTGAAAACTGAGCCCATACAACTAAAGAAGAAGGCAAGAAAAAAGAAAAAAATTATACTTAACGACGCCGTACCTTTAGATACAATGCCAAAATAATAATTTACAGTTTTCTTTTTTATTTTATTAGTTGTTATGTAAACTTATAGATAGCGCAAAGATCTTTCAATGACCTTGCAACTTCAAGATGTCTTCCGTTGAAATCATCTATTATAAGTTTAAGCTGTAAACTATAATATCTCTACAAATATTGACAATATCCTGATGCTAAATAACAATATACAAATTGGTCAGGAGAGTCTAGAAAAGACGAATTATTCAAATTTAGATATTATTTTTGAAAACAGTTCATAAAATCGACATGAAAGAGTTGACAATTAAGTGACCTACCTTTTTGTTACACGCTATATATTGATACTTTCCTTGCAAATCTATTAAATAAATATATACACTCTTTTGACTACAATGCTCGCCAACAAAATTATTTACATCTTTTAGTTGCGCTAAAAATAATGTCTATTTACAATTTTAGCTAATTCCGAAAAGGGGGTAACGTTACGTAAGTTTGGTTTCCATTCCCGGTTTCAGATTTCAGTTCCTTCAGCCTCCCGTCCTCCTGGTAACCGTGTTCGTGCTTAGGAGATCCGTTTTCATACCAATCAGGGGACTGGCTCATAGCCACATTGTGATCAACGTATTCGATCTTGACGCCAATAGAGTTTTCGTCAGCGCTTGGCGAGTGAGTTTGAAGCATTGAGTATTCTCGATTTAAGGGCGGGCTTTGATTTGGAGGAGCGGCTGTGTATTCGTGAGTACGCATCGGAGCGCTGAATAACTGACTTTCGTGGGAGTTCAACATGTAAGAGTAGCTATTCTGAGTAGAACCGAAGCTAGAGTAAGACGCCGGCGAGCCAAAACTTGAGTACGAACCGTTCGTACTGTTGAGTAAGTTTAAATGCGAACCTAAATCGTAAGAAGACTGGTAACTCCAAGAATCTACTGGAGCGGTGGATGTTAAAGTATTCGCTTGAGTGAACGGTATCGTATTGTTGTAATTCGTAGCGATACTAGAACTGGGTGATGCTGAGCTGATGTATCCGGTTTTGCGTGGCGGTTCTCGTTTTCGCCATTTAGCTCTTCGATTTTGGAACCATACTTGTACTCGAGATTCGCTGAGGCTGAGTTTTAGAGCTAATTCTTCTCTGGCGAAGACATCGGGATAGGGCGCTCGTTCGAAAGCGCGTTCCAGTTCTTCTAATTGGAAAGCAGTGAAGGTAGTTCTGAAAAAAATAAAAGAAATCATTTTGAATAATAATACGTTTATTCAAAAAAATCATAGAAGCATAATTGATATACATAGATTACACATTTTTTGCCCGTCTTTTAAGGTAGTTCACTAGATACAGTCGTACATAAAACTATCGCGTAATGGTGAATACTAAAAGTTCCAGATTCTCAATGCTAATCAATTTTATTTTTGTAAGAGACTGTACAAAACACATGTATATAAATACATATGGACATGTTATAATTTTAATCAAATTCTTCTGGCAATCTCGCAAATATATGAATGGTATGGTATAGAAAATAGAAATTTGTGACTTCCTCATACTAATTTTAAGGGTTTGTTTTGGTTCAATAGAACCGCTGATTCCAGTTCTCAAACACAGTGGTCGAATTAATTTTTCAAGAACACGTCGCGAGTTTATAACAACCTCTTAGCTGATAGAGTGTTATTTTGTTACGTGAAGTGGTTACAATGTTGCCAAGTTGTAATAATTTTACGAAACTACTCGTCAACTGCTTTAAAAATATTTTTATTTTAAAAATCTATATCTTTTTACTAAGACGGTCAAAAAATTCAGCGATTTTTTATAAATTTTATAACTTCCTGATTTATTTAACATTAGTTTTTAAAAAATATGGTAAGAACCGTTTTCGAGATATCTTGAAATAAATGCATTGCATGTGTACATGACAGGCTTTAAAGTGATAATTATGTACATTTTGATTGTTAATACCTCGTTTCACAGACGGTCAAAAAATCTAATTTTTTTTAGTTACGTAAACGACACTTTCATAAACCTTATATTTCAATTTTATTGAATTCTTAAGAAAAGCCGTTTTACGAGTAAACTACCTTAAACCATGTGTTTCGGTTTGAGCCTTTGTTTATTATTCAATACAACTAATAAATAAATGTACTTAAATAACGCATAGGTACGTAAAATATAACAAAATATAAATCAAATTCAAAACAGCTATTTATGAAACCAGTTGCAAAATGCGAGAGCCAGAGCCAGAGCGAGATCCTGCAACATGAACGAGTTACATAAAATAGCATTTCGTAACGTATTACATACAATATTTTTGAAAAATTACTGACATCTAGGAATTTATTAAATATTTCCAAACACCCTGTGTTTCTAAAAAATCCCAATGACGTTTTGCATTAATAAAATTCCCATTTGATGAATTCTAATACAAATTTACTAAAAAAATGTTACATGATCACGTTATGAAAATATTTTACTTTTTATTGTATATTGTTTGTTGTCTAGAATTTTTTGTATTTACTGAGCCCCTTCCCATGGGGCCTCAGTATTGCATTCGTGCAGACGAAAAAATTTTCTCACTCCCATTTTTTTATATTTTTTTTCACGTTTCCGATCATTCTTAGTCCGAAAAAAAAAATTGTCTGGTCGTCTGTGTGTATGCCGGCACGATAACTCTAGAACGAAAGTTCTGATTGACTTGCAGATTTAATTTTCTTGAATAATTGCTTCTAACTTAGAACACTATTGATTTTCAAAATTTTCGGTTCATCCTAACTACTTTAATATCAATGTTCTTAAAATGCGCCCATGCATTTCTGATGTGATTTATTTTACGGATTCCAATCATTCCTAACGTCTAACATTCCTAACATTCCATACATTCCAAACATTCCAAACATTCATAAAAATTTAGAATTTTATCTGTCATGCTCTGTCAATACAAATTAGCGTGGTGTTGCCAAGTGTCCAATTAAAATCAACAAAAAAGAAATATGAAAAAATACCTTATTTTTGACATAACATTTCCATATTCTCTAAAAAGCAATTCTATTAATTTATTTCCGGTCACATCCGATGATTTATTTATTCATTTTTATTGAATTGATGTAGTACATAATTTTTAAATATTAATATTACGTCATCTATGAAGTAATAAATAATGTACTCGTACTTTTCGAAAACTTTGAAACATAATTACTTTGTGTTATCCATAAAACTTTTTTGAATCAATTGAATTTATTTATTTGATAAGTGACGCTAGCCAAGTTAAAATAGTACTATTAACAAGAGGATAGCTGAATTAGTTAAATTTGTGCTGGGTTGACTGTGACGTCACTCGGTGGATACTTTTAATGCATTTCTTTATAAGCTTACCACAACATACTTGGTTACAGTATTGTGGTAACTGTGGTGACATCACACATACCGTGGTCACAGTTTAAAGAATATATATTCTTTAAACTATGCCGTGGTAACCTTTTATATAATGTCATATGTCAAATTTAATTTAAGTTTGATGATTTCTAAACGGAATTTGAGCTCAAATTTCATTTAGTCGAAATCAGTTACGTAAAAATTGTTGTCATGGCAACCGTTGCCATGGTAACCAGTAAACACAAACCCAAATCTCGTGACGAGAAAATGCGTGGTTGCCAAGTTATAGATGAGTTAATTTAGCTGTAATCAGTTACGAAGAAACTGTTGCCATAGAGACACTTGTCATGGTAACGACTAAACCAAAACCTAATTCCCGTGGTAAGGAAATGCATAGTTGACAAGTTACAGGTCATTTAATTTTCACTTTAGTGTAGCTCAAGTCGGTTACGGAGAAACCGTTGTCATAGGAACACTTGTCGTGATGTCGACTAAACAAAAACCTAAATCCGGTGGTGAGAAAATGCGCAGTAGCCTCTTATATTTAGATTAACTCTTACCATAATATCTCAATCTAAACTTAAGTGAAAATGAAATCATTTATAACTTGTTTAGTCGTTAGCATGACAAGCGTTTTCTTGGCAACAGTTTCTCCCTAAGATTACATTGTTTGACCTAAGTAATGCCAATGCTTCACAAACCAGAAAATTCAACGTCTTAATACTACTATCGGCTTTCGGTCTTTCGTTCCAAGTTAAATCACTTCTAGTTTTATTTACGATACGAGTTTACTCTTGTGGGCCTCAGTCTCGATAAGGTGGAAACCACCATTTTAGTGTCTCTCGAATGTTGTATTCCAAAACTGAGATTGGTCTTGTAAGTAGGGTTGCCAGTCGTCACGCTTTCGGCGTGGCAGTCACGCTTTTTGACTTGCCGGACCAAAAAATGGACTTGATTATATATAGAGCTAGGAATATATGCAAAACACCATATTTTGCATATGTTGCATATATACAATTTTTGATTTTGAATGCATATATCTGACATACTAATTGGCTGGACATATTAAAATTATGAGTTTTTGACCAAAATAATATTTTGTGAAATGCCTTAACAGGTCGATTTTCCAAAATTTTGAAGGATTAACTTTTCCCTGTAATAAATTACGGTTAATGGTGTAGGTACTTATTAAATTATAAACACCCTCCTTAAACCAACAAATTTTGCTAAATATCCTTTCAGGTAGTTGTATTAATATCTTCAAATTTCTAAATGACTCAGTTTACTTTCAACTTCATTTCAGTCTTTATTGTTGTGTTGTGTTAACCAGTGGGAAAAATGGCAAAATTAATTAGTCGTGGGTAAAATCTTCTTCAGATATTGTTGTAGAAGGTGATAACCAGTTGTTTTGTAAAACATGTTCTAAAATTGTAAGTAATTTCTTATTTTATATTTTGACCTTTCAGAATAGTAAATCAAACGACAGTAAAATATTATTTCAACTCACAGTTAAAAAAAAAAGTAGGGCAACTTTACAACGTACGCATTTATTTAATTTAATTAAAACTTCAACATCTACAGGAATTTATTTGTTTTAGATTCCATGTAAAAAAAAGTTTCAAATCGACCAACACGCGAAAACACCCTCACATATAGCAAAGCAGAAATCTAAAGACACTCGCAGACAAAGTCAACTTCCCTTGAAACAATATTTAGAATCTGCATCCTCTAGAAGTGAACAAGCTATTTTTAATGAAGATTTATGCAAAGCTTTAGTGACTTCGAATCATGGGCGAAGTTACGTCATCAGATCTGGGGGGGCTAAAGCCCTAGCCCTAGTCATCTAATATAATATGTAATAGTTCTAGTAGTAAGAGGTTTATTAAAGTTAAGTAAAAAAATTCTGGCTAATCTGTAAGTATGGATAATATATCGTATATAATATATATTTATATCATGTGAAAATACTGAAAAATTTTCATCACAAAAATTTCCTACATTTTGGAAGTCATGGAATAGTAGTTTGTGCAACAAGAGTGGATATGAAAATCCACTTGAGTTGTACAGTATATTTTTTCTATGGCACGCTAACGAAAATCTACAAATTTAAAAATTATTTTAAGTTAAGACAAAATTACTAATTTTAAAATAATTTATGAATTTTATTAATGTATAAAATAAAATAAACATAAAAAAAATAACTTCTAGCCCAGATTCAAATCCGGGCTATTTGCATGGAAGGCAGATGCTTTGTCCTCAGCTCCACCGCCACTTTTAGGTTTTTCTCTCCTCGTTTAACTACCTGGCTTGTCAGGGATTTATAACCGAAACAGAAACAGAATTTTGGCTCCTCTCTTAGTTTCGGCCGAAACCGAAATAGAAACAAGAACTTTCTTTTAAGACAATTTCTTATTGAAATTTGCAATATCTTAATGTAATCCTTATTTTAGACTAATTATTTCATATTATAAATTTTAGCTACATTTACTTATTACCTATTTATTTATGTGATCAAATAAAGAAGCCATTAATAAATTTAATGACATAGTTTTTTTATTGTTTTTTGAAATAAAAAAACCAAGTGAATTACAAAGTAGCAACCATTTCTGCATCAGCAAAAAATAATATTATAAAGGGAATTATATATAGGTTATGTATAATTTTGATAAAAAAAAACAAACGAATTCAGCTGATAAAATGTGTTTGTTACTTATTATTAAATTAATATTCATAAGTAAACAGTCTAACGGTGTAGGCTAGAAATAATATTTTTTTCATGTTTCCACTTCCACCCAAAAAATTGCACTTCCGATCCGAATAAATTAGGCCAGGAGCACTGAAGACTGTTC